AAAATTCTTTCCCTCAAGATATGGTCATAATTTCAATTCAAATTTCCAATGGAGTTGGCAACCATAATTACCCATTTAAATTTACCATAGTGCTAACTTAATCTATATTATAATAGAATTAAAAATATAGTGTCAAATCTTTCATAAGGATTTTTTTGTAAAAAAAAAAGATGCAACATTTGCAGATATTTTTACTGGTCTACCTTTATAAATATGCATTTCTTTAAACATAATTTAAAAGCAGTGTAAGGGAAGTAACCAAAACGTTGTATTTGGATTACCTCCCTTACACTGTTTTAAATTATCTTTATTGTTCATTAACCATTACTTTATACATAATTTAAAAGCAGTGTAAGGGAGATAATTTCAATGATGTATTTGATTTATCTCCCTTACACTGCTTTAAATTGTTTTGTACTAAAGTATTTGTCCATTAACCAGGACAACCTTGTTTTTCCCCCTTTTTTGCCCCTAATTCCTAAACGGTTTGAGCCATAACCCCCCAAAGCAAATCCTAACCATCCCTTTGTGGTATGGAAACTTGTAGTATAATTTCAGAAAGATCCATACACCATTCCACAGTTATTGTCTGGAAACTAGAAAATGCTTATTTTTGGCCCCTTTTCGGCCCCTAATTCCTTAACTGTTGGTACCATAACCCCCTAAATCAATCCCAACCTTCCTTTTGTGGTATTTAACCTTATGGTCAAATTTCAAAAAGATCCATTCACTTAAACTAAAGTTAGAGTGCGAAAACCAATGTGTCTTCGGACGACGCCAACGTCATACCAATATACGACCACAAAATTTTTTTGCGGTCGTATAAAAACACAAAAATTGAGTAAAAATGGCAAATAACTCTTATAAGTAGTCTGTTAATTTTTGGTGGAAAAAGAAAGGAAGGACTGAGATAGAACTTTACATTCTGAGCATTGTTTTCTTGTCATGTTTTCTCTATCAACATCATGTACATGTGAATATGAGACAACTCAGCCCAGAGACAACTCAGACCAAGTTGACCCGTTAAGAACTTATATACAGCTTTCAAACAACAGAAAAAAAAAATAAATCTAGGGAGCATCATACAATCTTCAACAATAGGCAGATGCATGTCTACACAAAAAGTCAAGCTCGAAATTGTCCTCAGTCTATCTTGTGATCTTGAATGGTCTAAATAGACAATCCACCTTCTCTTCATAGATAGTATGAATTGTCTTTTACAGAGTAGACACTCATTTAATCATTTATATAGTCAAAAAGGGCATCAAAACTCTCCATTTATACTTTTTCTGAGTTTGCATTGCAGAATGTCTGAGTTGTCTTTTTTGTAGACAGTCCGAGTTGTCTTAAGTTTGAGTTGTCTTGCATCCATACATCACGTTACCTGCACATGTATAATGGCTTTCAAAATAATAGACAACTACTTGCATTTTACCCTTAAGTTCTATTTTTAACTATTGGTGGTAATGCTGGTTGATTGGCAGAAATAAAAATAAAAGAATATTCATCCCTTGTTCGGAAATCACATGGAAAGCACTAGACAACCTGTGATAAGTGTCCACCAACTAGTATGATCACCATCAAATAGTGGCCATTTGTTGGGGGTCATAAATGATAGGATAGTCATGATAGTGGTCAAGCTAATTGGGTTACCTAAATGTAGTGATATTCATTAATATTTATCTGTTGAGCAGTCAGATGTGTAAATGACTTCAATTTTAAAATTAAAATTATCATTCTTCATTAGAGAAAAAAATCAAGAAAATGTTATCACTTATAAGTGTTTAAATTTCTACTTCTAAAATTACTTAAGTGATATCTGAAATTTTATCTGAAGACAATCATAGTTTTAATGGAAGATGGTTAAATATATATGGGATTACAATTATAAATTCATGCTTTGACTTATCAATTTTAACTTTTTCTGTTCCTTCTGAAGACTAAAACAATTACAAGAACAATTCTATTTATGTTACATTGAGAAAACATACTTCACAATAAACTGCTTTGCTGAGCGCAGCTGGATACGCCCGCAGAGGTCCAACCCTGAACAGTTGGGGCAAAAATGGACACAATATTCAAGCTTGATACTGGTCTGAATTTGGATTGTAATTAAATATTTGACATATTAAAGGTTTCTGAATAAATGTAGTCAAAGAACTTGAAATTGATTATATGAATTGAATTTATATTCAATTAAAGATTTCTTGCTGTTGTGCAATACACTGTGCTGTTGCTTAATACTTAGTAAATCTGTTGTCTGACTATAAACAAATAAAGTTAAATTTCTACTCAATGTCATATTTGAAATTGATGAAAATCAATAAGGAGATTACAACAATAGCTATAAATAATTCACCAGAGTTTCATGAGAACTGCTGAAAGCATTTTTGAGTTATTGTCCAAAAATTAGAAAATCCCCCCTTTTTTAATGAATAAAACCCCATAACTCAGAAATGTAAAATCTAAAATTTATAAAATTCTAAAGGGAGCTTACATCAACAGATATAAATAATTCACCAAAGTTTCATGAGAACTGCTGAAAGCATTTTTGAGTTATTGCCCAAAAACTGGAAAATCCCCCCTTTTTTAATGAATAAAACCCCACAACTCCATTGAACTCAGAAATGTAAAATCTAAAATTTATAAAATTCTAAAGGGAGCTTACATCAACAGATATAAACAATTCACTAAAGTTTCATGAGAACTGCTGAAAGCATTTTTTAGTTATTGTCCGAAAACTGGAAAATCACCCTTTTTTTATGAATAAAACCCTGTAACCCGGAAACGTAAAATCTAAAATTTATAAAAATTCCAAAGGGAGCTCATGTCAATAGATATAAACAATTCATCAAAATTTCTTGCAAGTTGGTGAAAGCATTCTTGAGTTATTGTCGGAAAACTGGAAAATCCCCCCTTTTTTTAATGAATAAAACCCCAAAACTCTGAAACGGTAAATCTGAAATTTATAAAAAACAAAAGGGAGCTCATGTCAATAGATATAAACAATTCACCAAAGTTTCATGCATATTGGTTACAGCTTTTTTGAGTTAATGTACGACATGTTGACGACGGACAGACGGTCAACGGTATACCATAATACGTCCCGTAAACGGGCGTATAAAAACCGTCAGACCTGTCGGCCCTTGCCAACAAAATCTCGTCCGACTTTTTAATGTTTGAGTAGGTGCATTTTGACAAATTGCATATGGTGATCATGAATATTAACGGGACTCAGTGAATACATGATTTATTGAAACAATATCGAGATTTTCGAAAAAGCATACTTAAATTCTGACTACAGACCTATGTATACTTTAATTTCATTTTCTAAAGTTTTCTACCATAATATCTAATATTACAAGTTAGGTCATAATTTTCAAAACGTGAAGGACTACCACATTTTTGTCAGTCCTTGGTCTTAAGGAAACATTTAAAGTATCTTGAACTCTGCAAAAATATGATGAATCAGGTAATGCACAATATCACTGGCCCCATTGGCAGGGGATTCCATTATAATGAGGTTAACTTAGTCCGCTAAAAGAGAGGCGAAGGATACCAAAATGACCTTCAAACTCATAAGTCGAAAATAAACTGACAACACCATGGCTAAAAAAGAAACAGACAAACAACATAAAAAACCACACGGAGTAACATGAACCCCACTAAAAACTGGGGGTGATCTCAGGTACTCCGGAAGGGTAAGCAAATCCTTCTCCACATGTGGCACCCATTAAAATTATGCTAAAGTTGAGTAAACAGCAATATGCTGCATTTACAGAATCTGGGTCTGTACGCCCTAGAACCTGTTCACCTTAATACATGTACTTGTTTGCCCCGAGTCCATTCGCCCTGATTCTTATTTTATTTGTTGTGTAATGGTATACGTATAATATATTATTTGAATGGAATATATTAAGGTGTGTTGAAAATTTCGTCAAATATGTATGTTGTACTGCTGCTATTGATATTTATTTTCTTTTGATTAAAACAACTGAAGACCAAATTATCTAGGTTTTTTGGTGTTTTTTTTTCTCTTCTGTTGTTTTGGTTGTTTTTTTTCTTTTTACCAAGTTATCTGTTAGTATAATATATAGTTTATGGAAGAATTAAGTGATTCAATAAATCACTTCCATACATGAATATAACAAAACACACTTGAGATCAAAAGAGCCAAGCTGCAAAAATAAATTCTCTTGTATATTATATAATTTGTACATGATTTGTTTTTACTTTTTCAAAGCAGACTAGTTTGTTTAAAAAAAATTATTTTCCTTCTCAAACCATTAAAGACTATTCAACAACTGTTCAGATCAAAGAAATCGTAAATTTACCTAATCATCTTAACAATCAACAGCCATTTAATATTAATTCTAAATATTAAAAACAAATCTTACAATGAAGACAATCATTACTCAAAAAACAAGCAATTAATTCAAAAACATTTCAATGCTCTTCAACTTCCTAAATTAATTGGCCTTTTGATTTTTTTTTAATTAATGCAACCCTGATGAGTCTTTAGTTGAAACTGTGGCGTACAAATTCATAAAACTGGTATCTTTGATGTGTTTTTTTTTTTCATGTTTTTAAGATAATTTATATTTACCTAATAAATCCTGGCATAGGTATACCAAAATACAATATTAATATATCTATAGGAAAAACAGATCAAGGGCAAACGAACCCTGGGTGAACATGTAATTAGGGCGAACAGACCCGATACTGTAATTACAGAACTCATCCTAAACTACCTGGATTGTGGAGGCTGTCTTCAAGTTCAAGTTGAAAACTGCTGAATAACATGTAATTGTAACTGAACCATGGTCCATCATGTCCATGGCCAGTTGTGATTCATATTCATTTGAAATATACAAAAAATCGTTCTATATTCTATAGAAACACAAGTTTCAGACAACACCTGCCTCATACCAATTTAGTGTAAAGATCTTGTAGATGATGCCTGCAGATGATATCATGATGACGCCTTCAACAATGTTTACCTTTTTATATTGTCATGTATTGATCTGAAAGGTTGAGAATAGTCACTATCAGTTTTTCAGTCGTCGGTATTATCCAAATATCCTTAAAACAAGTAGCATTTATCACGATATTCAACAATAAATAACCTTGGTAATGATCACAGCAGTTGGCTACCAAAACTTATTTTACCTTGACACTGCCTCACCCTGGAACCTGTAACTAATCAGCAGTAAATATATTTCTGTTTATTGTCTTTTTAGACATGTAATTGAACAGAATTAGATCAAATAAAGAATTAAACTTACTTTATCTGTGTCACTAATTTCAAATTTTGATAATACATGTATACATTTTTTTCCGTTTTTATTTCATGACATGAAAGTGTTCATTTTATGATTAGGATTCGTCTATCGTGTTATACAATAATTTTTCGTCTACTACAATTTTTTGCTTTCTAATAATATTTCATATAGTAACACATTGAAAAAAAATTTTGACTGGATTTGAACAATTCATGTCAACTTCCAAGCAAGGACCGAAGCTCAAAAACTCGGCAATCATTTGTATATATGTCTCTAATTGAAAGTATCTATAAAATAATACTTGCGCTTACATCACTAGAAAAAGAGAACGCTTTACAACAAAAATAAAAACAGAGACATATACCGGTAATCGAATAAGACAAATCAACCTGAGACTATCCTGCTTGGTATAAAATGTACGTTAATCAAAATACAATCCATGATAGTTTTTTATATGAAAATATATAGTAGAAAATCTAAAGGAAAAAGTAAAATCACAAAAATACTGAACTCCGAGGAAAATTCAAAAGGAAAGTCCCTAATCAAATGGCAAATCAAAAGCTCAAACACATCAAACGAATGGATAACAACTGTCATATTCCTGACTTGGTACATGCATTTTCTTGTGTAGAAAATGGTGGATTGAACCTGGTTTTATAGCTAGCTAAACCTCTCACTTGTATGACAGTCGCATCAAATTCCATTATATTGACAACGATGCGTGAACAAAACAAACAGACACAATAGGTAAAAATGTCAAAAATAGGGGTACAGCACTGAGTCAACATTGTGTTATCATCTTAATCACTATAAAAACAAACAAATATAACAAAGAAGTACAAAAAGGCATACATCAAACTTAACATCCTCATTTTGCTTCTCTATTATACGATTTTATTTATCTATGTAAAATCCACCCATAAAGGATGGGAGGTTTTACGTAATGGCGTAGAATCGCGCGTTTGACGTCACACAGGTAGATATAAAATAATTGTGTCGTTCAAAGTATGACGGGATACATAAGTACAGAGTCACGTCAAATGGATATCACAAAAAACTGAGTTTGTATGATTTCAAAATATAAGATTTAACCTTAAGAAGTCTAAAAGGATTAAAAATGGTATTTACCTATTATCTAGATGTAAGAGACATGGGGATATAGAGTGTGCATTGCTTTTGCTGTATACAGATCTACTTATTGACTTATAAAGAATCGGTAAATCACAAATATGTCAACAACAAAAAATTGGAATAGTCTTATCGCGAAAGATAAGTATGTATACACCTTTAACATTTTAATTTATAGTCTGGCATTTCAAATTCGCACACAGTAGTGCCAAATTACCGGGCAATAGTTGATATTTGAGGAAATCCAAGAGTTGAAAGTTGTCAATCTGCCTAGCCTATTTAATTTCAGCTCGATCGTTGAAGAATATTTAACTGTCTTGATACCTTTTAACATATTTCAGATATATGACCGTTAAAGCATGTATAGCCGGGTAAAATGGCGTTCCGGCTAAATGGAAATCAAGAAGGAATATTTCGCTCCTTAAACTTTTATTTTAGCAGTCCGGCAAGACCGAACAACAAACTCCAAACCAAATGTAAAGTAACATACAAACAATAACAATATATATAAGCACAAGCAATTAAAGGATTAAGAAGATTAACATATGCCAAATAGAAATAACAATAGATTAGAAGAGTAATTAATGTCCGACACGTATAAGTAAATTATTGTCTAAACTGTTACAGAGAATAAATAATTAAATGAATAGAGTAAATGAATTTAAGTCCTTTGTCCAAGATTATGACACATAATCCGTGTAAAACACTTATGCCTAAATTTACGACAAAGTTCAGAATAATAAAATAAATGCAAAACCTAAATATACATTAAAACAATTGAATAAATAAAATGTTGTTTAAAACTATTTTCACACTGCACAGTCCAAATAGTCCGGTCATACATGTTTGGGACAGATTCTATATATATAATAACAACGTTGAGATTAACATTATTTTTACAAGAATTTTTTCCCGTGTAAGCTGAGTGCCGAAACATATAAAAATAAGATGTGATCAATAAGACACGGATAAGACCAGGAGCCATGCACGATTGTTCAACTGTTCGTTCAGCTAATCATATGAGCAAAACCAATACAGAACAGTTTTCTCTTCTGAACTATTTCACATTTTGTCATACCGGGGCCTTTTATAGCTAACATATATACGGTTATGGTTTTGTACCTTGTGACGTATGACACGTATATATGAAGTAGTTTACATCCTCGTCCTTTGGCCACTAGTGGATAGTTGTCTCATTGACAACCATATCACATCTCTGTATTTGTATATTTTAGCCGCCTAACATTACCCTAACTTGGGATTTTGGTGTAGCAACACAACATATGAATTAACTGTAAAACCAGTTGAAAAGGACTTGACCCTTCAGGCAGATCTGGACTAAACACAAAAACAAACAACAAAACTACAAAAAAAAAACACAAAGTACCGATCTTAATGTACTCACCGTTGCTGAAATCTAGTTTAAAGTCAACTAACTTAGTTTACCAAGGTCTCCCAGACTAAAATATCTATCAGTGCCCTCAAACAGATTTAGTTTTTAAGACTTCATAAGCAGCTAGAGAAAGGCTGTACCCTGTGCTATTCCGAAATAAAAGTGTTTACATGATATAAGACCGTAAGTGCCAATACCTGGACAGCGTTGAATACATTTATTAAACTATTATTTCATATCGTTTAAGAATTAGTTTCTCTTATTGGATATCAAGGGGCCACATGACATTCTTTATTCTTCAGTAATAATTTCCATCGGTCATTAACAGAAAAAAACGGACCAGAAAACCGGTCGTTAACGGACATTTACATGTTAATGACCGATGGGGCGTGGTTTCTCTGTTTTTACAGTTTAATAACCGGTGGGGCGTGGTTTCTCTGTTAAGAGAGATGTCTCTTTGATTAAACATTTTCCTGTTTTCAATTTTATATTGAAGTTGTTGAATATTTTACCATATGTTTTCGTTAATAATAAAATTATAGAAAACTTTATTTTGTATTCATATATTGAAAAAATGCACTTAAATGAATGGCAGTGACTTATAGTTATCACTATGACTGGTCTTCATTCTTTCCTGTAGAACTCGTACTATAACTCGAGTTTGCTTTGAACAATTTGAATTTATGAGAATTTTTAAAAACATGGTTCCTCAATAAAATAAACATAAAAAAAAGAAGTGGGAAACATCTATCTAAATTGGGAAGGTTAACTATTTATCACTCATATATTATGTCTAATTTCAACTATTGCCCTGTGGTTTGGCATTTTTGTGGGGAGGGTAACACTAAAAAAAATGGAAAAAATACAAGAACGTGCCTTGAGGTTCATCTATAAAGATGTTAGTAGTGACTATGAAACTCTTTTGTTAAAATTTGGTTTACCTTCTTTAAAAACAAGACGTCTACGAATGATGGCAATAGAAGTTTTTAAAATATTACACAAAGAGTCACCGGTTTCTCTCCATAATATTGTTAATTTTAAAAATGTACCTTACTCTTTTAGAAAGCAACAGACTGTTGAAGTACCACAGGTGAGAACAACACAATTTGGACTTCATTCATTAAGGTATGCTGGAGCTACACTCTGGAATGAGCTGCCTGATGCGATCCGTGTGCAGTCGAACCTGAACCAGTTTAAAAGTATGATCAACAACTGGAATGGCAACTCATGCAGATGTGGCTCCTGCAGATCTTAAAGCTTTTGATTTTTTATGTTTTTCATGCAACTTTTAGAACTAGTTTTGCTTATTTATTTCGTCTGCTTTGCATGTGCTTATAATCTAGTTTAGTGCTTTACTTGTTTGTGCTTGCTTTTATATATGAACATGTTTGCTTATGCAATATAGCTGTCTAACTTTGTATGTCTAATGTGTATGTTTTATATGTCCTATATGTCTTAATATAGTATGTGTTGTTATTGTTATTAATGTCGACAAAAAGCTCTACAGAGCTTATGTTTGTATTGTTCATGTAACCGGACTTAAAACTAAAATTTTCTATTCTATTCTATTCTATTCTGCAATGCTAAATAATAACCTTTAAGCATATAGCTTTCCGTATACGGCATGGGTTTTGCTCGTAGTTGAAACGCATGCAAGGTGACCTGAAGTTGTTTACATCCCGGCACAGGCACTTAATTTGTCTCTGGAAAACAAAATGCCTATATATATACTTTAATATATTAAAAGTTTTTTGTCAATCAGCTCAAAGACATAATTTTGTCATGTGACCGTGGCGTCGTCAACGTTTTTTCATGATTTACTCCTGAAAAATGGAATTTAGAATCAAAATATGAGGAATGACTGTAATAATTTTTCTGTCTATTCGAAATAACATAAAAAATGTGGTGCACACTTTTAAATAACCCGCGTAGTGTGCACCACATTTTTTTAGGTTATTTCTTCAGAAAAAATATTACAGTCATTCCTTAAATAGATGCAATATTTGGTATTAACTTTAGAAGAAAGACAATATAATTCGGGCCCTCTAAAATAATATCGTTGATAAGGTCAGTTAGTGGTGTTTTTTACTTACTTTTCTGTAACCCAATCCAGAACCTCATAACCACTTAATTCACGCCAAAAATTACAATTCTGATGTTGCCACATGTGAACAGTAAAGCAGTACTTTCTAATAGGATACTGTTTCATTTGCTGCGATCCATACAGGTTCACTACTTGACTTCCGTTTGCCATCAGGAAAAAACTCAAAATGTTAGGCAACGTAGGTCGCAGTTTATTAAGGAGTTCAGCAATACAAAAACAGCTGATGCTGCAGAAAAGAACTATGTTGGAAGCACCTCCAAGATATAGAATTTCTTTCGCTGTAAGCAGGGTTATGAATAGTTAATTTGTTATCCACAAGGTCGAAAGGACAAAACAAGCTTGCTTTTAATGTTCATTTTAATCTTTTTAGCAAATACGACTGTGTTTGAACGTAATAAAAATTCCGGGTACAATTAAACTGATGCTACTGGAAAAGTTAGAAGGCATGGGCATGGCTTAGCAAAAATAAATGAAATTTAAGGTTCTGAGATCTTATATTTAAAGACATAAACAAAAAAACAACAATAGCCTTGTTTACAACTTAACAATTATACTGATAAAATCTCTTTTTGATGTTGATGCAGGGCATAATCTTGCCAGTGAAATGACTAATTAAGTTACCAAAAAATTTTAAAATCGTTAAAATCAAGATAATTTGAAATGAACCAAGGACTAATGCTGTTGAATATTAATGGAAATAGATTAAATAATTTTTTTGAGACGACCAATTTACTATTTGGTTAAGGAGTGGGAGTTAATGGCTGATTGTTTGCTATTCATTGAATAAAAATTGATATGTGTAAAGTAATAAACAGCTTATGGATAATTTGATTGTAAAGGTACATGCCTGGTCAGTGTGTTTTGTTTCCACGACCTACTCTTTTTAATAGGAGGGATATCTTTTATAAAAATAACAATAAAAATTAGCTCTCTATATATATTTGATTATCAGTTAATTAATATGTGATTGACAGATATTTTCATTTAAAGGCCTACAATCATTCGTTAGATTCTCAAAAATCAAGTGACATGATATCCTGGACATTAATAATGTTTTACAAAATTATGACAAGTGGTGCAAGCAGTTCTTGATAAGAATTTAAAAAAAAACACATTTTATTTAAACTTAAATTCAAATTGTCAGTACATTTGTACAAATGATATGACAGTCACATTCTAAACTCACAAGTCAAAGAGAATATGACAGTGCCATGACAAATAAAATTTGAAAAACCTTGAAATGAAAAACAAGTCTACAAAACACACCATAGAAAACTAATGACTGAGCAACTAGAACCCCATCAAAACTCAGGTGATCTCAGGTCAGTCAGGTGCTCGGAAGGGTAGGCAGTTCCTGCTCCACATGTGGCACACGTTGTGTTGCTCGTACAAATACAAATCGGGTAATAAGTCTTATACAGTGATATCACAATCTAGGAAAAGAAAATTAATAAATAATTAGGTGACAATTATTGATAATGATTCACTCAAGGCGATAAGCAAAGTTCTGTAACTTTATATCTTGTTTATTATCTGGTGAGCAAAATGAAAAAAAAGAATAGGAAGAAAATATCCTTTAATTACAGGATTTTGACTGCTCTGTAAAGTGTATTTTGTTTTGTTTCAGGAGAAAGTAATAACTGGAGCCATTACAACGTTTGCTGTTTGTGGCCCTATATGTTGGGTGACATACTACACAGATGCTTACTTAGAAGAATCAAATAAACAATAAAAGAAATGGAATAACTTTACATTGACATTTTGTATTTGAACAAAATGACTCTACATGTTTTATTAAAATAGCTTTGTGAATAAACTAAGTACCCCTTCTTAATTCCTTATAATTGTTATCATACACTGACCAGAATGAAACAAAAAGTTCAGTCAGGTATCTCAGTTCAATCAATAACTGCAGTGCCATTAGTTTCCATACAATATAACTGATATATGTCTTCAGTGATCATAATAATCTCACATCCTCTAAAAAAATCTGGATTTTTTATTTGATTTAAAGTCTTAAAGGTAGCATTGGAAGAAAATGTAGACATTCTACAATAATTAATTACCGAAGCAGAAAACTACAATTTACAAAAGTACAAAGTGATATATGCACATGTATTGCAAAACTTAATCCTTTGACAAATGGTATATGATATGTTTAAAGCTGGGTAACAAATAAATTTGAAGCATAACATATCAGACATGAACAACATTAGGAATGACACTTTGCATGATTTAAATTTAAACCACACAATTAATAACCCTCACCTTGCAACACCTCTTTGTTTACAAAAGAAGACCACTGGAGCTATGAACTGCTACATCCTAAGGTTATGACAAAATTATTGAATAATTGTCCCCACTGCAATGTGGTGCAGGGGACGTAGATATACAAGGCGTCCAGCCATCAAATATGTATGCCCTCTCACCCCAATAATTCTTTAAGATTTTAAGAAATTTATATTAAAGGTTTATAACAGCTATGTCTCAGAAGAAATCCGATGAACAATTTTAAATGAGTTATGTGCCTTTGAAATATCTATAATGCTAAAAAATGAGACCTGTTTTTGTGTGTCGCTTCTCTGTCTTCCAGATCAAGTCAATCAATGTGACTCTCTTCCCTATAGGAAGTACTGTAAGTTCAGAAATTATTGCAAGGTTTTAACGCGAATAATGCAACTACTTGAGTATCGCAATAATAAGAACTGGCATTCTGATATCAAATACATATATCTGTATGAAGCTTTTTCAAAAATCGCAATAAATGCACACAATAATTTCTGAATTTACAGAATGCAAATTGTAGTTTGTTATCCTCCTTAATGATTATTCATTTTGGGTTAGTTTGAGAATAGCTTACCCATTTTTTAATGTGAGGCAAACAGATTGATGCATACTAGGTAAATGCTCATAGGTTGTCAATTTTCATAAATTTTGACACCAGCAATTAATTCAGGATGTGTTGTCAATTAAAATATGTTTTCTTAAAATCAATGGACTATGTATTTTGGTAAGCAACCAATAATTTTGACTCGGGGAATCATTTCGTAATTACAAATACCTTACTTAATTAAGACATAACAAAAATATGATTATCAGAATTTATCATTTTGTAAAAAAAAGTAAATTTTTTTAAAACATAATTTTGACTTAAGAAAAGAAAACAATTTGGAATGCACATATTATGTATCATTTTTTGATGACATGCATCCTATCACAAGAAGATGCTTCTCAAAATTTTGATTTTTGTCAAGCCTGCGACTTTTGCGAGACATAGCGATCCTACATTCCGTCGGCAGCGGAGGCATCCACAAATATTCACTCTGTTGTTAAAGTTTTAAAAATTGTAATAACTTTCTTAAACTATCCTGGATTTGTACCAAACTTGGACAGGAGCTCGTTTTATGATCAAAAGCTAGTATCTAGAATGAAATTTTGTAAAAAATTATTTCCTATTTTTTTCCGTATATTACTTGTTAATGGACTTAGTTTTTATACGACCGCAAAAAAATTTTGTGGTCGTATATTGGTATGACGTTGGCGTCGTCGTCATCGTCCGAAGACACATTGGTTTTCGCACTCTAACTTTAGTTTAAGTGAATGGATCTTTTTGAAATTTTACCATAAGGTTAAATACCACAAAAGGAAGGTTGGGATTGATTTTGGGGGTTATGGTACCAACAGTTGAGGAATTAGGGGCCAAAAAGGGGCCAAAAATAAGCATTTTCTAGTTTCCAGACAATAACTGTGGAACGGTGTATGGATCTCTCTGAAATTATACTACAAGTTTCCATACCACAAAGGGATGGTTAGGATTTGCTTTGGGGGGTTATGGCTCAAACAAGGTTGTCCTGATTAATGGACAAATACTTTAGTACAAAACATAATTTAAAGCAGTGTAAGGGAGATAAATCAAATACATCATTGAAATTATCTCCCTTACACTGCTTTTAAATTATGTATAAAGTAATGGTTAATGAACAATAAAGATAATTTAAAACAGTGTAAGGGAGGTAATCCAATTACAACGTTTTGGTTACTTCCCTTACACTGCTTTTAAATTATGTTTAAAGAAATGCATATTTATAAAGGAAGACCAGTAAAAATATCTGCAAATGTTGCATCATTTTTTTTTACAAAAAAATCCATATGAAAGATTTGACACTATATTTTTAATTCTATTATAAAATAGATTAAGTTAGCACTATGGTAAATTTAAATGGGTAATTATGGTTTCCAACTCCTTTGGAAATTTGAATTGAGATTATCACCATATCTTGAGGGAAAGAATTTTTTTGGGGAAAAAAGGGGGGGGGATAAAAAGAAATGGTGGGGGGTCAATTTTTTCTCATTTCAGATTTCAGAAATTAAAAAGAATTATTCTTCAAATATTATTTTTTTTTCAAATTTCAAATATTGAAAAATTTCAAGAAGTAATCTTTAATTGCACAGTATGGCGCATTAGATTTGTTAAATCTTTAATCACATTTATTTATTTGTTATGCCGAATCTAACAGTGTATTTAGATTTTTAATTTTGGGTCCAGTTTTCAAAATAGTCTACATTAAGGTCCAAAGGGTCCAAAATTAAACTTTGTTTGATTTTAGCAAAAATTGAATATATGAGGTTCTTTGATATGCTGAATCTAAACATGTGTTTAAATTTTTGATTTTTGGCCCAGTTTTCAAGTGGGTCCAAATTGGGGTCCAAAATTAAACTTTGTTTGATTTCAACAAAAATTGAATATATGGGGTTCTTTGATATGCTGAATCTAACCATGTATTTAGATTTTTTATTTGTGGACCCCGTTATCAAATTGGTTCATATTGAGGTCAAAAGGGTCCAAAATTAAACTTTGTTTGATTTCATCTGAAATTGAATTATTGGGGCTCTTTGATATTCCAAATCTTACCGTGTATTTAGATTTTTAATTTTGGGTCCTGTTTTTTAAATTGGTCTACATTAAGGTCCAAAGGGTCCAAAATTAAACTTAGTTTGATTTTAACAAAAATTGAATTCTTGGGGTTCTTTGATATGCTGAATCTAAACATGTGTTTAGATTTTTGATTATGGGCCCAGTTTTCAAGTTGGTCCAAGATAGGGTCCAGTATTTAAACTTTGTTTGATTTCTACAAAAATTGAATATATGGGGTTCTTTGATATGCTGAATCTAAACATGTATTTAGATTTTTGATTATGGGCCCAGTTTTCAAGTTGGTCCAAATTGGGGTCCAAAATTAAACTTTGTTTGATTTCAACAAAAATTGAATATATGAGGTTCTTTGATATGCTGAATCTAACCATGTATTTAGATTTTTTATTTGTAGGCCCGGCTATCAAATTGGTTCATATTGAGGTCAAAAGGGTCCAAAATTAAACTTTGTTTGATTTCATCAAAAATTGAATTATTTAGGTTCTTTGATATGCCAAATCTAACCATGTTTTTATACGACCGCAAAAATTAAAAATTTTTTGGTCGTATATTGGTATGACGTTGGCGTCGTCGTCGTCGTCGTCGTCGTTGTCGTCGTCGCCGTCGTCGTTGTCGTCGTCGTCGTCGTCCGGCGTCGTCCGAAGACACATTAGTTTTCGCACTCTAACTTTAGTTTAAGTGAATGGATCTCCATGAAATTTTATTTTAAGGTTCAATACCACGAAAGGAAGGTTGGGATTGATTTTGGGGGTTATGGTACCAACAGTTAAGGAATTAGGGGCCAAAAAGGGGCCAAAAATAAGCATTTTTGTAACTTCCAGACAATAACTTGTGTGTAAGTGTATGGATCTCTCTGACATTGTACCACAAGGTTCCATATCACAAAGGGAAGGCTGTAATTGATTTTGGGGGTAATTGCCTCAAAATTTTAGGAATTAGGGGCCAAAAAAGGGGCAAAAAACAAGCATTTTTCTAGTTTCATGACAATAACTTGTGTGTAAGTGTTTGGATATTTCTGAAATTGTACTACAAGGTTCCATATCACAAAGGGAAAGCTGGAATTGAGTTTGGGGGTAATTACCCGAAATGTTTAGGAATTGGGGGCCAAAAAGGGGCCAAAAATAAGCATTTTTCTAGTTTCCAGACAATAACTTGTGTTCAAGTGTATGGATCTCTCTGAAATTTTACTGCAAGGTACCATACCACAAAGGGAAGGCTGGGATTGAGTTTGGGGGTGATGAATCATAAGGGGGTTCAAAAAATTTGGGGGGGGGATTTTTTTTCTTTTCTTTTTTTCCTTTTTTTTTTCTTTTAAAATTTTCCATTTTAAGTTGGTTATTTCTGATTTATATTTAAAAGCAAATAATAATGATATGGTAGGAGATACACACCAAACAGGATGTGTAAATTATTATATAATAAGTATTGTGCAATAGCAAGAAATTTTCAATTGCACAGTATTGCACAATAGCAAGAAATCTTCAATTGCACAGTATTGCGCAATAGCAAGAAATCTTCAATTGCACAGTATTGCGCAATAGCAAGAAATATCCAATAGCACAATATTGCGCAATAGCAAGAAATTGTCAATTGTACAGTATTGCGCAATAGCAAGAAATATTCAATTGCACAGTATTGTGCAAAAGAAGATACTTTGTATAAATTGCTTATTTCTTGATCAATTTCAATGGGGTTTTATTCTTGAATTCTTGGGGTTCTTTAATATGCTGAATCTAACTGTGTATTAAGTTTTTGGATTTTGGGCCCCGTTTTTAAATTGGTCCACATTGAGGTCCAAAGGGTCCAAAATTTAACTTTGTTTGATTTCATCAAAAATTGAATTATTGGGGTTCTTTGATATGCCGAATCTAACCGTGTATTTAGATTCTTAATTTTTGGTT